CCATTAACCAATAGGGGTTTGAAAGTTACAGTGAGCGTGTAATTTCTGCCACATCCGCTTGATCGTTCATGCTTTCACCAATTACAAAAGCGACCAGTTGCGTGTAATAAAAGCGCCAATCAGAACTGTTCATTCTGTTTTAGTTTTTTCCGCCAACTTCTAAAACTGAGATGGCTCTTAGAATTCTAGTTGATGAAGGTATCTCTGTCGATGTTGGATCAAATCAGCCACTATATCCGATAATATCTGTTAATAACCGGTAAGTCTGAAATTTTTTCTACCAGTCATACATAAATTTTCCGTTGTGAAGCACATATTGCTGTTGCCAGAGTACTTTTTGCGTGTTTAAATGATGGTTTCGTTTTTAACAGTTTAAATAAATTTTAGTTATCGCAAAAGAAGCATGAATTTCGAAATTTATCGACGGCAAAGCTATGGAACTGTTTGTTCTTCAACTGTATCTTTCCATTTTTTGATACTTATTCCTCCTGATTATGGAAGAATCTTTTCTTACTAAACGGCCAGTATGGTAATTACAGATTGAAGTATTGGCTATTGTAGTTTGTGAATTTTAGCCACACTTAGTCGTTTTGCTTACCGACAACGAACGCAGTTTCGTTTATCGACTCAATATTCTCAGTAACAGATACGATGAACTAAAAAAAAAACAACATTTACTGCAGGAAGTGCAGTTTGAAGATTTTGTTTCTTTTATCCAAAACTTTTTGAAAGAAACGAAAGGCGGTAATGGTATGTTTAAGGGGACACCTGTCGACGACAGTAGGAAGTTCAGGTGCGTTAAGTTATGCTATCTTTATGTTGTCCTTGTGCTGAGAAAGTTCCTCTAATCTTTTGGATTCCTCAGCAAATTCACTTGTTTATATTTTTCGTTTTAGGGAAAATGGCCCTTGAATTTAACAAAGATTTATTCCATATTTTTCGCAAAACATTAAATTTTTTTAGTCCATGATTCATCATTTGCAGACTGGACTTAGTTAGTATGCCGAGGGGATTCAAAGCCATTGTACTGTTATCTTTAGAGTTGGAACTCCTGACAATCTGGCAACTGGCTGATTATATTAAAGAAATGAGTAGAGTTTTCAAAGTCGGTTGTGATGACATATGTTTATATGCTTGCAATTCAAATGTTTTTTTTTTTTTTTTGTACTTTCTTGTTTTGACTTGTATTTTCCATTTCCTCTCCAACTTTTTGCCTATTTTGAAATGAGATGCTTATATTGAAAGCCGAAGTCCATCACCTTGAAACATAAATATTTATTTCAGATGGCGCGTGGATATCCTCGGGTTTGCACTGAGCTTTGCCACAAAATATTCAGGTTACATCTTGAACGCTGTGAAGTAAGCATTTGATTTTGTTACTTTTTATTGTATAAATTCTCACTTTGCGTTTTTTTTTTTTTTTAGCTGCAGAGGGACTGCGAGGAGATTACGAAAAAAACAAAAAGAATTGTACAGGTGATTTGTAAATCCGCACGATGTTACGCTTTTGCAGTCATTTGTAGTTGATCATAACAAAATTTAGCTACTTGAAAAGTAGCTAGTACTTGTTTTAAACTTTTTGGTTCTCAAAAGTAAACTAGAGTCCATCCTTACTTTTTTCAAATTATGCTCTAGGAGATAGACGCTTTGCGAAGAAAGTATGGTTCTGAACAAGAACAACTCCAAGGTGACAAAGAAAAATTTGCAGTCATTGATGGGAAAGCTAAAGTTTGCAATTATCTTTGTTTTTAAAATTTTCCTTTATTTTTTACCTTACTTGTGTTGCGTTGTCGTTTTTGGCAGAGAACTGATAGTCTTTAGGCTATTTGCGACTAAAGAAGACACGACGTTATGGGAAATGGTGGAGCCCAACCGTTGAGGAAAACTGTGCCTTACTTAAAGAAAGTCTCAAGGAGAAAATAACGTTGAATGACTTTCTTAAGGCAGTCATCACCCATTTGGTCTGAACTGTTTCCACTCCTTTAAATTCTTTGTTATTTAACCTTCGCATTCTTTTGTTCATGTTTTATATCTCGCCTACCGTGTACTTGTAATACCTGGAGTAAAAAAAAGAATTACCAATAAGCAGCCCTCGTTTGCTTGAATATGAACCTAGTGACTAAATTCTTGTTTTCCCAAATTTTTTTCTTTGGATTTATTTAGACTACCGTAGTGAGTCTTTGCTCCTAAAAAGTGAAGTGAATTGAGTAAAGAAATCCGTAAGAAATGTGATAAATGCAAAACAAGCGTACAACGGGTTTATCGAACTACTCAAACGCATTCACGCATGCTGTCGTACATGGCGTAGTTGCAGCATCAGTACCGCACGAGCTTCAGTAGTGAGTATCACTTCAGTGGTCTCTCTAACTAGCTTCTAAGAAGTGAGAAGACCAACCAGACCATACTGCCGTAAAGTTAGTAGCTATTTGGATTTAAATATCAAAATCGATGTTCAAACCCAATTCTGATATTTAAAAGTGTCGCAAAAAAAAGTTGTAAAACCGTAAAAATGTTTTTTCGTTTTGCGAAAGTAAAGCTAGTAGGAGAAAGGTGGCATAATACTTTTAAAAAAGAATAAAATCAGAAAAGGACAATCTGTTAAGAGCATTTCAATAAATATTCATTTTTGATTTTGAGATTATAATAACGTGTCATATTTTCAAGCAAGGTGAACAGTCTTGGATGGCAAAATAGAATATTGCAAAAAAGACATACTTGTATTAATTAGAACATTAAAATGCAAGAAAAAAAGAAAAAAGCAATTTTTTTTCCGTCGTCCAAGTTAATGGATTAACTGTACTGGCTCAAAGGGTGACAAAAAATTTAGACAATCAGGATGCAAAAGTAACACAAGTTCTGTGAGGTAACGAAAATTTACCAGCGAAAAAAGATAACATCAAACTAAGAAAATTGTGTGTTACAAAGAATAACATAATAAGTGGATAAAGTAAAAAGTTAGAGATATAACATCTATATTGTTGAAAATTAAGTAAACCGTTACGAAAAAAAACAGTTCTGATGAGCTTATAGCGTGCCCGTTTCTGGAGGACCCCAAACTGGATGTCACATAGTATTATAAAAGATCACTGGTGTAAGATACGTTATAATATCACACCTAATTTACCTGCAAAATCTTTCTGTTTTGACTGTTATTTATCCAAAATCACTGACCCAAAGTTATTTCGACAAAAAGCAAGTATTGCTATCAGAATTTTCTGCAAAAAAAACAGTTTTTTTAGGATTTAAAGCTTTTATCTTTTACGTGAAAAGTAAATACAGTAAGTTTTACTAAGTCAAAGTTGATATAGAAGAAAGTAATTTTTCCTGATAGAAAGTTAACTTTCACTTTCATTCCTAGCAAAATACATATCTTGCTGTAATCTAACTTGGAAAAAAACAGTTAAATTTTTGTTGGAATCTTTAAATTATGAATTTGTTATAAAATGTTGTTATACTAATCATAATCTTAACTGCTACTGGTTTGTCAATAACCGTATCAGAAGAAGGATACTGTTATGTGAGTAACTGTTCTTGTGTCAAAATATTTTGGCCTCTCTAAAAAATCTTGCTTTTTTCTGTGTTCTGATAAAACTTCCAGATTCATTTTGCAGTAAATATTTTCATCTTGCAATTTATAAAGCCATGCGAACTGAAAACTAAAAGCACAGATTCTTAGAGTTGGCCTATAGGACAAGATCTTTTAACAGTCATTTATCCAACGTCGTTTTCATTTAATTGTGAAATTATGGTGAGAAGTTTCTCCTTCCATTCACAATTTTTCTAATGATCGCGCATTTGTTTATTACTTTAAATTCCATCTAGAAAAAAAATTAAATTTTCTACCGCTTTAATTCAATCTTTAATTAATGACTTTGCATTCGGTACGCCCAAAAAATCAAGAAACTTCAAGATTTTAGCTTTTTTTTAAAATTTGGAAAGATCATTAATTTGGAAGGATCTATTGGGCCAGAAGAAGAGTTCTCAAGAAGTACTTATTAATTATTTGCATAATTAGCGTACAACAGACTGAGACGTTCTTGATCTTTGAGGTATTACAGTGAAGTCATCTGACCGCTAGATATAATGTAAGGTGACACTTGCTGGCAAATCTTTGTCCGAAGATTTTTGTGAGTATAGTGCGATATTTATTGAGCTTTTCCTCAAGCTTTTCACTGAGTAGGTCGGGAAAGTTCAAACTTGTAGTTGGGAACTTTGCAAATCCCATGTGTTTCTTGAAAAATGATACCCTTTTGGATTTACTTTGTATGAGACAGTACTTTTACATCTTTTCTGCACTGAACACTGTTTTTTCCCATAGTTTTTTGGACAAATTTGCCGGCAAATGCCATTTTGTGCAGACACTTTTGGTCACTGTTATAAGTATTGAAAAACGCCGATTTGCTTATGTCGGTCATCCACAGAATAATGTGCAGAAAAGGATGTTAGCAGCCCTTACTGTCTTCTCCAGACCTTGCTGCCACTTAAGGGTTGTTCGATGTGTGCATCCATGAACTTTAAAACGTCACATTTTTTCCTGATTCTGTATTCTAACAAGTTAGTTTTGTTTCGTAATGCTTCTGGGAAACTTAAATTTAGATGTCGGTTAGGATTGTAGTCGATGAAGTAATCTTCGTTGATTTTGGGAAAAACCAACCGTTATACTCCTTATTACCAGATGAAGATCGGTTAGCCTGTTTAAAAATGTTCTACTGGTGTTTAAAAATATTTGGTGTCTGTTGAAGAAATAGAAGTTGGCATTTGTAGAATTGTTATTTCGTCTTATTTCACTGATAGACTACTGCTCTTTTTTTCCACAAAGGATCTATAAGTTTTAGCTTACGCCAACGCAGCATGAATTTGGAAGTAATACGACGTCGACATGCATGGAACAGTGTTGGATCTTTATTCTATTTTGTATAGAAATTTTACTGGGCTTGTGTTTCATGTGGTTCCGAAGCTCGATGATTTTCACTAAAAATGGACCTCTTTCCAGGTAACGTTTATCATTATGCTTTCTGACAACGAACGTGGTTTCGTTTACCGGCTCATTCTTACGGAGGAGAGGTATAAAGAAATGCAAAAGAATCAAGAATTGACAGCAGAATTCGACGAGTTCCCTGAATTAATTCAGGGGTTTTTAGAAATGGCAAAGGAGCGCAGAGGAATATTTATAGGAAAGATTGATGAAGATGACAAGATTTTCAGGTAAATTTGTAGACTTGAGCTAGCATTTCATTAATCCGCTTAATTTTCAAGAAGCTTTGCTTCAGAGAACCTTATTTTAGTAGCTTCTCAGCGAATTCGTAGTGTTGATCTCTCCTACTGAAAATGAGTGTTTGATTTTCTTAAAGAAATTTTCCGTTTTTTTATTCAAAACTCTGGCTACTACAGGTTGGATATGGTTGGCAAATCGAAGGATTTTGGAATTGTTGGACTGCTGTCCTTGAAACTAGAACTTTTGGCTATTTGGCAATTAGCTGATTATGTGGAAGAGATGAGTAGGACCCTTAAAGTTAGTTTTAACTAAATTTTTTGAAATTAGCTTCTTGAATTTATTCAAGATGTGTTTGCTTTGGATATCCCTTTTTCTGAGGCGTTGCCATCTCCGGCTTACTGGAACAAATTCATCGAGCATCAGTTTTAATTAGCTTTATAATCCGTTTCTATAGTTTCTCTCCTGAATGGTTTAAGTTGTTGCAGAGAATAGGTGTTTTTTTAATGGTTGTTGGTGAATGGGTTTATTACAGGGTGCTCGAGGATACCCGCATGTTTGTTTCGCGTTAAAATATACAACTTCTGATTTAAGGAATAAAATTCTTCGTGTAAGTATTCAATACTTAATTTATATTTTTACTGGAAAAAGTTTGACAAATAAAATGGTATATCTTTTTCCAGTATAAGAGGTCGTGCGAGAGAGTTATAGAAGAAACAAAAAAAGTTGCCAAAGTGAGTTTTATCCAAGGCTCAGTGCTTGTTGTGGTTTTTAACATTTTTTCCGGTCGCTTCGCCTAGTCTCTGTTTTCATATCTCCTGATCCTTTCTAACTGTTTTTTTATAGGCGAGTGATGCAGGTCGCTCTGGCTACACTTTTAAAATTATTTTAGAAGATTGAAAATTTGCATAAAAAGTATGATCCTAACTATTAAAAACTTCTCAAAGAGGAAAGGAAGGCCGTACAAGATGATGACGACATGGGAAACTGTCCTTATTGACTTCAGACTCCTGGTTATTTGTTTTCCCGTCTAGTAATGTAATACTGAGGCCTAAAAAACAAGTTGCTTCAATTATTTATCTATTATTTTTTACCAATGTTTGCTAATTACATGTTCTTAAATGTCACTATGTTTCAGAATGTTTTTAATATTATCACTACTTAGGCGTGGCTAAAGTAGAGGGTGAGGAACTAAATATAGTACGATTTAAAATTAAGGAAAAAGGGAACAGCAGTGTTGAGAAGCTGTTAAAAATGCATAAAACTTCCATTGTAATGATTAATTTTTGTATTTGTCAGTTGTTAATGTTATTTGGAAGAGGTGTGTCGGGTATGCTAACTGTACTAGAGATAACTAAGCTGACGCTTTTTAGCCCAGTTATGTAAAGCAGTAAGAAATCAGATTCTGGAAAACAGTCGTGCAAAAATTATCTATTTTTAAACAATAACATAATGAAGTTTTTATGGTGTGTACAGCTAACTGAATCGAGCGATGTGTTTGTCGAAGTTGTCCAGAGCAACGATTTGAAAAACTGTGGTACTCTTGAAGTTTGGTGTGATAGCATTGGGTAGATATATTAACAACATTTTTGCACGTCGTGTTTTGTCTTGTTATTTGTTTTGCTGGTAAATTTTTTTTTTCATTAGCCTTCTGTATTTTCTTCGTCGTGGAACAAAAGTTATTTTCGCGACATTTGAATTTTAAGTTTTTTTCTTGATTGCAGGAAGACGGCTGGGATCACATAGACAGTAAATTCGTTTTTAAAAATTATTAGGATTGCCTTTTTTCAAGTGTGTTTGCTTTGTGTTATGTTTATTGTTTTTGATGTCGTTTTTAACTTTCTAGAAGATTTATCTGTTTTACAAATGCCATGTTTACGTATTTAATGAATTATATGCAGTGGGAAAGCTCTTTTGAAAATTTCTTCTGTAAAGCTTGAAGAAAATATGGTGGGAGTTTAGTTTTAGTTGCAATCATTATTTAAAAACTAGTTTAAGCTGAAGCGTTCTTGGTCTCTTGGTTTTCTGTTTGGCACGTTGATTTGGACAAATGATAGTGGAGAAGTTTTTGCAATCATTGGTGGTTTTGTTTCCTTCGTGATTGCCAAGTGGTGTTTGACGAGATTACCTGATAGTAGTTCTGTAACAGTTGCTGACTTGAGGCTGGAAGTTTGAGGCGATGGATTTTGGTAATTGTAAGAAGGTACAATAGGTAATAGAGTAGAACCGCAACAATTTCAGCTCTGATTATAAATCTTAGTATGCTATTGCAAGTGGCTAAGTTATTAGGCACACGGTCTTGCTTCCAGTTATACCTGGGGTCCAGTCTTTTCGCAGTACTACTGCAATAAGGAAAATGTTAGTTAAATAAAGGAAGTGGTCCAGCAGCTGTCACTTTATTTTGAGTGTGGTGATGACAACAGCTTTCCTTTTGTTGCTTGTTATTTCGTAAATGTTTGTAATTTTAAAGTGACAGTGGAAACGCGCTTGGGACAGGAAGGATTCTCTGCGTTCCGATGAATGTTGGGAGGTTTACATTTCAGAAGCTGCCTTGTCCCATTTTGGTTAGATTAAGCTTTCTGTTACTCCAAAAGAGTACATCCAAGATCATGCTTTCGCCTTTGAACCAACATAGTACGAAAAACTAATTTCACTTTTAGTTTGGTAGTCCCATTTTCCGTATTGATTTCGGTGAAATAATCACACCTACCACATAAATGACGATTACAGTTCATTGGCTTCATCGGGTGAAGATAAAATAGAGCCATCAATGGAAAGGGTTCTGAAAAATGATGAAAAATGAAATGTTTGCAAAGATACAGTTTCAAGGTTTTTCTGCAAAAGTCCTTGTAACACACAGTTTTTTCTAGTGCTAAATCATACAGTCATATTTTTACATTGTAATTTGTCCGTTCTTTCTTTTTTCATCTTTTTCAGTTGTTTTTTTTTCTTTGATTACACCGCCAGTTTTTTTTTCATTATCTTGAAAATTATGTTTTTGAAAGTGCAGCCGAATAAAAAAGTGGGCTTGATAAAGATCTTTTTTTGGGTGGTCTTGCTGTGCGACAGTTTTATAGTCTTTAAGTCTTATCTATATTTCTATTTTAGATTTCAACCCTTCCGTAACTCATAGTTTCTTGCCCCTAATTTTACAAATAACTAGTCATATAAATTTTGGTTTTATAGTGCATTTTGTTTTTTAGTAGTAGAAGAAACTTAGAGGAGAAATTCATCAAAAAGTTGCTAAGCAGAAAATCGTTGTACATCCTTTTGCAGCGCAATTTTTGAAACTATACTACAGTTACGAAATTTTTGCAGTAAAAAAACTGTCTTCAGAAGCTTGCAGGAAGGTTCGACAACAATCCGTCTGGGGGTCATCTAAGAGTTCTTAATAGTGTAGGTTTATTATGCAATCAACCACTGAACTGTTCAGGTCTTCTTTAACGAAAGGAAGCTGGTATTTGTGTGTATTATCGTATTACAGTGCCACTTTATTCGCTCGCCACAAATTTGAAAGCAGCATTTTTTAGGTTTCAGAAACTAGAACATTTCAAAAAGTCTGCATTTAACCAAGTTCATTGAATACAATGACACATGGCTTTGAAAGTCAGTAATTAAACTTTTTTCATTTAATTCGTCGTACGCTATCATCACCGATAACACCATTACCATTGTAAACTCTCATTGACATCGGGTGATTCCAACTTTATTTCCGTAGTCACTTACGGAGATTTAAGCTTAGGATGACAAAAGAAAGAAAAGATAGAGGCAGCGAGGCTTATACACTTTTTCATTTTTTCCCTTTGATAATTGATCTTTCCTGTGCCATTGTTCAAATTCATCCCAACAAAAAAAAATTTTCGCAGAAATAATTAAAGGTAGTCGGTAAACAACATGTAAAAAGTTTTTACTTTTTTCCAACGTTTAATTTGTTCGTTCTTTCTAACTTATAAAAAAATTCCTGTAAGAGGCAAGTTTACTGCTAAACAGATTTATTTTCTTAGTTCTCACTTCTTTTCTTTCTCTATTTTTTCTCTTTTTTTAAACTTTGTTATTAATTAGTTTCTAAGTTTATCGAATTATACCAAGAAGAGTCAAAAATTGCTGAATAAAGGAGAGCGAAAAATTTCTTTCATAAAATGGCTTTTAATTAATGATTTTAACAGGTAAAGCAACTGCGATATAAAGTAAATTTCAGAAAGCTGATGATAATAGCGGAGCCGTCATAATAACGGAGTTAATAATAATAGCGTTACAAGTAAAGCTGATAATAACAAACACTAAAAATAATATTTTCAGGAATAAGGGATATTTATGAGTAGCAAATGGCAACGAGTGTTTACTGCGGTATTAATGTTATTTTAGCCGTTTATTTTTCGTCAACTTTTTTTTACTCTAATCTAATAATTCTCAGGGAGACGGGAAAACATGTTCGCCGGTAGAAGGAAGAAGAAAATATTTGTATTACACAGAAATTTCAATAATTTAACCACGAAAAACTAGGTTTTAGTGGAAGTTTCTTTAAAATTTGTTTGCTTCTTCCTTACTAATCCACCTTCCCTCTCCGTTTCATCAATATACCTGGCAGAATAAACCTGACAAGGCGTTAGTGCCGAAATGAGGTACCGTTAATCCGATACAGTGTAGAAGAATTTGTGGTTTCAAGACGCAGGATTTACAGATACTGAAAAAGTTTATTGTATATTGACTCTGACAGGCTCCCCATCATCCAGTCCAAATTCGCCCATTTTCATCTCAAGTGTCAGTAACAGCGGTAATAGCAGTATTGTGAGTGTCACAGCATACGTATTTAAATCGGATTGCATGGAATGTTGATTTTACCGTATATCTAAAGATGCCCAGGACAGATTTATTTTTTCTCTTATGCAACTCATCGCTGTATTTAGCATTTCGTAATGGGCATATCGACTTTATGGGTGATTTTGCCAAGGGAAAATCAACATGAATTTGAAAAAATTATAGAAAATAAATCTTTTCTAGATGAGATCAAGTGTGCAAGCCTAAAGGTTACATATAAAGCCTTCTTTTACGTATTTCACAAATTCGGTTACACCGACAAATAGACTAAAGAAGACACCAAGGAGGAGTTAATCAAAATGAGACGATAGGATCAATGCTAAAAGTTTTGGATGGCAATCTAAAGCTAGAATTGACTTTCTGTTTTTTTCGGTAGTCATTTGCACTAAAAAACAGATGCTGCTTTATATTCTGTTTAACTTTTTGGAGCTCTAAACTTCCAGTCTAAGAAAGCTGCATATTAACGCTTACTTTGATCTTCTGAACGGATGCCTATTTGTCAGTAGTATAAATAATCGATTAGCATTTAGTAAATTGAATTAAGTAATTTATATAACCTATGTATAGCAAATTTTAACTGTAAAATATTAAAATTGTAAGGTTTTATTCCAGAATTTTATTTTATTTGTTTATTGTGGATGCTTGTTAAAAAAAATAGAATTATTTTTTTTTATACAACACTGATGTGCATAAATACAAAAATTGTAGTTCAGATTTTTATTTTTTTTTTTTATTTTTTCAAAGAACTGTTTGCTATACAGTTTCAAAATATATTATAATCATAGGTAACTGAACAATTATAATCTTTTTTTACGTGAATAGATTGATAAGACAGTATTGTGCAAACATTTGCTTGTGTTTTTTTTTTTTTACGATTCAACAGTTTGAATCGTTGCTTTTTTTATTCTGTTTTATCTATTTACAGTTTGCTGTGCAATAAATTACTTCTGTTAAAAATCGTTTGTCAATTTAAACTGTTACAGAATAAGTTTTATTAGGGTTTTTTTTTGATTTTACTACACAACATACATCTGATAAGCAAATAACTTTGTGGAGGAAGGCTCTGAGCCGGAGTTAGTTAG